TAATAACCTCTCTTTCATTCTTAAAAGTTTCCCGACTTGGACCACAAATTACATGCTTACCCTACTCATGGGAGGCATCTGTTACTTTGAAGGAAAGGGCCTCAACCCATGCTGGTCACAGAACACAGATGTCCATGTTTCTCACCCAGAAACAGGCTGCACAGGAGGCTCAGAAGCGAATTCCTGCATTTTACAAGCAAGGAAGCTGTGGCTCCTGTCACTGAGAAGGCCCCAGGCAGAGGGCTCTCTGTGAAACACAAGCTGACCGTCTGTGCCTCCAAGGGGCCTCTCAGTTCTACACTTTTAATCCATCTCTGAAACAGATCCAGGCAAGGGCTTCATCAGAACCTTTGCAGATTAAACTCAGTGTTTGTGCTGGTAAGCAGTCCTGGAGTTGCCGGCATCATCGGAATCATCCCTCATTGAGGATACACTCAGTAAAACCAGGGAAGCCCAAATCCTCTCCGGAATTGGGTGGGGTGAGAATGGACAAACGCAAAAGCTGTATGCCTCTCTCAGCTTCCCTTCCTCTGCAAATCAAAGTGAGATATTTCAAGAATTTTAATCATAGTGAGGCTTCCCTGGTGGCTCAGTGGTAAAGAATCTGCTTGCCAATGCAGGAGACATGGGTTCGACTCTGGTCCGGGAGGATCCCACATGCCATAGAACAACTAAGCCCGTGTGCCACAAATATGGAGCCTGTGCTCTAGAGCCTGTGAGCAGCTACCACTGAGCCCACATGCCCCAACTACTGAAGCCCTAGAGACCGTGCTCCTCAACAAGAGAGGCCACCGCAATGAGGGGTCTGCACACCGCAACCGAGAGCAGCCCCCGCTTGCTGTAACCAAAGAAAAGCCCATGCAGCAGTGAAGACCCGGCACAGACAAAAATAAATAAATACACTTTTAAAAAGGAAGCTTAATTGTAGTGAAGTACACATAATATAAAACTAACCATCTTAACCATTTTTAAGTAAGACTACTCAGTGGCATTAAGTACATTCACAGAACTGTCAAACCATCACCTCCATCCACAGATATCTCTCCATCTTGTAAAAGTGACACTCTGTCCCCATTCAACAATAACTTCCCACTCTCTCTTCCCCCAGTTCCTAGTTCCCACCATTCTACTTTCTGTCTCTGACTACTCTACATATCTCATATTAGTGGAATCATAGAGTGTTTGTCCTTTTGTGTCTGGCTCATTTCACTCGGCATAATGTCCTCAAGGTTCACCCATGTGGGAGTACATGTAGTAATCTCCCTCATTTTTTAAGGCTGAGTAATATTCCATGGACGAGATGGTTGGATGGTATTGCCAATTCAATGGACACGAGTTTGAGTAAACTCCAGGAGCTGGCGATGGACAGGGAGGCCTGGCGTGCTGCAGTCCATGGGGTCGCAAAGAGTCAGAGACGACTGAGTGACTGAACTGAAACTGAATATTCCATGGCATGTATAGACTACATTTTGTTTATCCATTCATCCTTACACCAAGGTGGCTTCTGCCTCTTAGCTATTGTGAATAATGCTACTATAAACAAGGGTGCTCAAATACCTCTTCAAAATCCTGCTTTCAATTCTTCTTGATATATGCCCAGAAGGAGAATGGCTGCATCATATCATAAGTTTTTTCACTTCCGGAGGAACCGTCATACTTTTTCTCCACAGCAGTTGCACCATTCTCACCAATGGTGCATAGGGATTCCAATCACTCTGCATCCTTGCCAACATTTGTAATGTTCTTGTTTTTAATAATACACATTCTAAGGGGTGAGAAGTGGTACCTCATTGTGGTTTTGATTTGCATTTCCCTATGTCAAAGTGAGATTCTACCCTAGGAACAGGTCTAACACAACCAAGGAATGATTATAATTTTAAAAAAGCAAAAGAAGGGTAAAAAATGTTAGTGTCCTTAAAATGCTGTGTTGGCAGCATTTCCCTGACATCCCTGTGATGAAAACCCCATGAAGCCCAGCTCCATGCTCACCTAGTAAAACATGCAATTCAGAACAGACACAAATACTGGGGCATCCATGTTTCTTGCCTCCAGTAAGATTTTTCCATGGAAAACTCTTGGTCCTGAAGTTGGAAAGAGACAACTTAAAGAAGAGTACTACAGGTATTTGCTATAAAGAATGTTACTGTGAAAATAATTCTGGATGCGGCAACCTGCTAAATAAAACTTCTGCTTGTTCCAGCACCTAGAACTGGTCAAAGGATCAACAAATTGCTTCTTCATATTCAAACCCACCTACTGAGCCCAAGTCCACCATTCAGGCTGTCATCCTGATCCACTGCTCAGTGTTAATTCATCAAAATCAAACAAAAACACTCTGCAAAACAATCCGGCAAAATAATCCAAGGTGGAAGAAGATATAAATTAAACAAGATCGGCTGAGTTGGTAACTTTTGAAGCCAGTTGATGGGAGCATGGTGGTGGTGGTGGGATGGGGTTGGGGAACGTTTCATTATATTGTTTTATTTTTGTATTTTCTCCATTTAAAAAAGAAAACTCCTCTGAGGAGGCATACCATTTTACACATTTTCAGCAACCTTGTGAAGCAGGCAGTAGGCAGGTGAGAGCAAGTCATAAAGAAATTAGCTTAGGTGGGAGTCCAGACTGGCACCCAGGAGCCCCCCATGCACCATGTACTTCTCGAAGGGCTCTACACCCCAGTTCTCAGACTCACTCCACAGTTCCAAACCCTGCACAGAAGACAGCAAATCTTTGCCTGGAACTCAGCAGGGAGGGGCCAGGCAGCCTCCCCCTCTCATTTTCCCAACCAAGCTCTCAGTCCTTGTTTTCCTGACTGCTCCTTTTTGTTCCATCCCACTCTGCCCCAGTGGACACCAACTGAAAAATGATTAGCTCTTGACCACACACATTGCCAATTCTGCAAAACTCTGATAACACTGCAGCCCCCTTCAATAACCAAACTGACCTGCTACAATTCTGGACTTTATGAACTCTGCAATTTGAATTTGCTGCTGCCAATGTATTATACTGGGTAGGTTAGTAAAACTTCCCAAGAGCAAAGAATCTGTTCTGAAGAGGCTCTGAAGAAACGGAGATTTCCAGGCCCTCGGCCACGGCGGCCGCAGGATAGTTTCACTCCAGATGCAAAAATCAGGATGAGAGTCAGAGGTCGAGATGTAAGACCAACAAGCACAGCTGGCCAGCTGACTAATGGGTACAACAGCTGGGTGGACAAGGCCGAAAAGGTCAAACCACCTGTCTAAACCAGGTGACCCTGAACTGTGCATCTGGCTGGCAGGTGGGGACTCCAGGTGGGGCCAGAAGGCTCTCCTCCACACAGGTAGAAATGCAGGTCCGGACGTCACACATCACAGGCCTTATTGTCAAGTGTTCCAGTCCAAATAGGAAATGTCAAAATCCTCAGTAGAGGCAAATGTGGCATCATGACCACTCATCCCATCCCTCCTTCTCCATCTGGTCCCCCCCAACACTAGCTGCAGACCCAGACACCAGAAAGAGTGCTTACATTAAAGGGAGGTTTTAAAAAGTCCCTGTACATGGTCATGTTGTCTTGTTCTCCTGTACAAAATCAATGCCTGCCTCTCTCTGAACCAATCCCACCAACATGCTCTGATATCTTTCTTAACCCCTTGACCATCTCCAGCTAGTATCCAATTTCTCTACTTTTCATTAAGGCGAGAGTCCTTGAAAGAACTGTCATGAGTCACTGGTCTCCACTTTCTCATGTCCCATTAGCTCCTGGGCCAACTCCAGGTGGGTTTCCACTCCCGGGCAGATCTGGTCAAGGTCACAACCTCCACCTTGTCAAAGCCAATGTCAATATTCTGTTCTCACCCCACTCCTCTCTACATGAAGGGCTTCCTCTTGAGACTTCCATGACACAGAAATCTCCTGATCTTCCTTTGATCTCAGGCCACTCACTCACAGCCAACTTTGGAGTGGACTCTCGTCCTCAGTCCCACCTCTAGCATCCTCACCTCCATATTCAGACTCCTCCTCTCCTCAGTCAATACACTCTCCTTTAATAATCTGGTCACCCTTTCCTCAGATGGTGGCCAAGACTTTCATTTTCAGGAAACTGACAACTCCATGTGTCTGGCTAGGAGATCATTCTAACTCTTCTGCACCAAATTTCATCTCAGAACTTGGGACCACCACCCACCCCTTCACTCTTCAGAATCTTTCCAAAATCAGATGACACCATCCAACTTATAACCTACTAAGCGTTATTAAAAGGAGCAGGAAGTAATTCCAGCTACTTGCTGGGAACCATTGAGTCCTACATGACCTGGCTTCTTTGTGCCCATGTCCAAACCTCTGTCCCCTATGCCCTGTACTCACTCAGATCCAGCCACATGGCATTCCTTTTGTTTCTTGCACATGCCAAGCTCATTCCTGCCTCAGGACCTTTGCACATGTTGCTCTCCTTACCCAGTGCTTTCTTCCCAAGACCCCACATGGCTGTGTATTCATTAGTATTCAGGTCTCTGCCCACAAGCCTTCTCTTCTGACTGTCCTTCCCAAGCACCCTGGCCAAGTGGCTTCTCCTTCCCTGCTCTGAGGCTCTTAAGCTAATACCTCTTCCAGTTGAACACCAGCATCACAAGGGCAGGGCTTTACTACCCTTGTCCACCCTTATCTCTAGAAACCAGGACAGGGCCTGGCCCACAGTCCAGTGTGCACAAAGGACCTTACAGCTGATGTCTCACTGGGGCATTCCTGGAGTGTGGGTGGAGGGAAACTGACATACATCTGGGTCAGAGCCCCAAGCCTTCCTGAACCCTCAAGGCTGAAGAAAGGCACCTTGATCTGGTCTTTAATCACCTTGGCCTTCCCCATCACAGCACTTTATGGTCTATTTTATAATTTACTTGTTACTCGCTTCATGAGGGTAGGGCCCTGACTGCCACTTCATGGAGGGGCCAGGTAAACCTAAAGTATGTGAAGAAGCACAGTTTACTAATTAAGGACAGAGAACATGGCTGCTCTCAGCCACTCACCCAGAAGACGATGTTGTAGCTGAAAAGGAGGTACTTGTACCAGCAGCTGACCTCGGCGTTAGAATATCTATAATAGTGCATCTTCTGAGAAGCAGGATCTGTGGAGACAGGAAGAGTGATGAGATGGCAGGTTCAATTTTTCGAACCATCTCCCCAAAATCTGCTCCCCAAGGAAGGAGCAAAGGCAAGATACAGATTCAGACTCCAGAAATTCCCAAATTGCCCCCTGTGTTTTTTCAGTAGTCCAGACATAGGTTTAATATCAATGCCAGCTATAGGTTAGACAAAAATCAATGAAGTCAACTTTCTATAAACAGCCAAAAGAATAAGAGGAAAATTTTGAAAGAATGGAGAATGGCAATTTCTAAAAAGTGTCTTGTGGACTTCTGCTGGGAACCTTCCCAAACATTTAGGTCATCACCTCTTCACTGGGTATTTGTTCCCCCACTTCACAACAGTGAAACAGGAGTTCAGAAAGGTCATGTGACTTCCCAACAGCAAGGCAAAAAGCACAGGGTTCAGGACCCAAACCAAGGCAACATGGGGGTGCAGACAGTGGTCCCCACAAGCCACGTTCTTCCCACCCACCGCTACCTGGGGCTAAGCAACCAGGAGTTGAGGGAACCAAACAAAGAAATGAGGGCTCGACTAGTCAGAGTCGAGTTGGGGAAGAAGAGATGAAAGAGCAAGTCTGGGCATGACCTAACAGTGGCCAGTCAGGAGAAGTCACATTTCTTCATCTAATATTTTCTGAGACAACCTCTCAAGCTCAGCCCTCAAGAGGTAAGGAAGGCGGAGCACCCTGGCCTGGGTGGAGAGATCCTGTGAACCCACAGCAGCGAGTCTTCACCCCACTCCCCCTTTCCCTGCCTAACCTCCCACCCTCCAGGACCACTGTTTTGGCCTCCCTGGGCTACAGTAAAGCTTAATTATAGAACACTGAACTACACAGGGTGAAGGGTGGGGCCACTCTCCTTTATCTGTGTCCTAAGCCTACAAAGGAGGGTGCACTCAAAAGGAGTGAACTCCGAGGGCCTGATCCACCTTCACTGTGTCCATAAAATACAATGGCAACCCAGGGGGACCCTTAACTCCTCCACTATCCGCTGCTCCCAACAGTGGCTGAATGGTGGGGAAGGTGCCTCAAACTGACCCTCGGGGTGGGATCTGAGGCTCACTGGAAATGCCCACGCCTAGCCCCGGAACTCACCCTACTTCCCAGGGTGAGGAGAGGAACAAGAGGTAACCCAGGGCCTAGGGCAAAAACAACCAAGGCTACTCTGGCAGTTGGGAGACACCCCACCCACGGCTGCCAGTAAGAGACCAGCTTCTGCGCCTTGCCACGGAGCAGCCACCACAGAAGCCCTTCCTGCTGAGGCAGCCTTGGCGGCCTGACCCCTGGTCTGTAATGTTCTGAGAAAGTGCTGCCAGGCAGGCACATGAAACCACATCCCTCTGGAAATGGGTACTCTGACTGCTCCACCATCCTTCCCACAGAGCAGACCCTACCAACAGGCAGAGACTGGACACCACTGCCGACTGGCCCCCTCCCTCCCAGACGGACGGGAGTATGGTCAAGGCCCAGCTGGGAGTACCCAGTCTGCCTGGCCTGAAACCAGCCAGGGAGGGGGCAGTGACCCAGCAGCCCATCCCCACCTCCCCGTCCCACCAGCAGAGCAGCATTTCTACAACACTCCCCTCCTGGAATGCATGTGAACACATGCATAACATACCAAGGGAAGATACTGAACACGAGGACGCAGAGGGCCTGAATACGGCCTGGGCCACACAGAAGATGAACGGGAACTCTTGGGCAGAGTCCTTCCTTCAGCCACATGACTTGACCCTGAGCAAGCGTCTGCCTCTCAGGGCCTCAGCTAAAATGGGGCCAATCTCTAAGGTCCCCAGAGACTGGGGAGGGCTGCTCAGGCACAATACCCCGAAGTTCAGGAATCCTAAAGGGTGCTCCTTGGAGTCATTTAACCTAACCATAGTAAAGAACTCTCCTCCAAGCTCTGAAGCAGTAAACAAAGCCAGGCTCCCTTCTTTCTCCTGGACCTTCGCTCCACAAAGACACCAGCTAATTAGCACCGGCCTGTATGCTTTCCATAGCATGGCAGACCTCATTCCTGCCCCCTAGCCCAGGGCCTCTGAAAAACGTTGACCCTGAGGTGACACACGGACTCTCCAAGTGGAGATCCCTGATCTCCTTCTGCTCCGGCCAGGTACATGGGGAGAACATGGAATGGCCAGAGGGAGCTCCTTGACAGGCAGGCTGCAGGAAGCCAGTGGTCTGAGTGTGAAACCCAGGGGGCTGGTTTTCTCACCATCTGTTCCCCCCTCTTCCACTGGGCTCCCAGGGTCTCACCCCACAAAGACTCAACCAGGAAATAACTCTTTATAAATGTCAGGGTTCAAACCCAAAGAATCTCAACAACTGTGATATAAACCCCAAGCCTTCACTCCATGGTAACTTAAACACTCAGAACTATACTAGCCAGGTCCACGCTAGGGAATGATCAGAAATGAACACCCTAATCATCCATGAGATGATGTGTCACACTCAGATATGTCCCCTTACATGCCTGCCACTCACCCCCAGAACACTTGCTTGAACATTGCACCATTTTTGTTGGACCAAATTTCCCCATTCCAACCCACAGAAGAGGAAACTGTTGAAGGGAAACAGTGCCGTTTAGTCTTTCTTCACCCACTTATTTATTCCTCCCCAGGGGAAGAGAAGGCACTCAACTGACCAGGAGGTGGGGAGAGGGGTCCTACACCACACTTCATCAAAGGAGCAGCAAGGAAAAGCTGCCTCTTGCTCTTGACCCACCAGCTCTGTCCTGGGACCAGGGTGGGTAGAGAAGCAGGTCTTGAGCTTCAGCCAGAAGACCCAGGTCCCCACATAGGCAAGTTCTGAATTTAAATGGAAGGAGGTAACAGTGAGATTTGTTTGGACCTCAGCCTAAGCCACATCCTCCAACACAAAGCCTTGGGTTTGGGGCAGAATGAAGGCAATGAGCATCTGAGGTCTGGCTTGCCAGCTTCAGAACGTCAAGGAAGGAGAAAAGACTGATGAGTGCTCCCCCACCAGCCTGAGGTGTTACCCACATTTCAAAGAACCCCAGAAGGTGACGAGGATGGTGGTGCTGAAACTAGAACCAGATCCTACCCAGAAGTCAGCCAAAATGACTCCAGAGTGACTATGGTCCCTCACTTCTCACCATAGTTGCTAACCCAAGTAGAGTCATATCAGAGAAAGGCAAAACTCAGCTCTCTACCAGCTAATGAATTCAATCAACACCAAAAGCATTTACCCTAAAATACATACACAGACTAAAAATTCTACTTCTTAACAGAAGATAAATAAATTTTCACAGCTACTAATGACCACAACAACTGAAAACTCTCCAAAAGTTATGTTGTGTTTTCTGCAGAGAAAACAATTATTTAATTCCAAGTCCTCAAACTGTCTCAACTCCAAAAGTTATTATAACAGAATAAAGCGTTTACATGGCAAGTAGGAAGCATTGTGTTTGTCCAAACATCAACTTCTTAAAACAAGGGGGAAAGCCAGAATTATTTAAGTGTTAAGACAGCTGGTTAGCAATCTGATAGGAATTGAATAATACACTAAAGTCAATCTAAATAGTAAACACACACACACACGTGCAAGAACAGGGTATCCACATTTAAGCTGACTGAAGTATAAAATCATCAATATAAAACAGATATGCTTCTAAATTCCCATATAACAATTAAAAGTAACAAAATTAAAAAGGAAACAAATGATAAGTTATCTGCAGCTGTAGTGATTATGACAAAGGGTAAATACTATGTCCAACACATAGAAATTCATGCTTAACAAAAGACTCTGATTTTAGACCAAAGGACAAAGGATATGGGCATTATACTAAAACTGAAGAACAAAACAATTCCTAGATGGAAAACTATTCAAAGTCACTGGAAATGAAATTAAAGACAACTCACAGATAGTGTTTTACACATTTTAACAAAATCACCACCACTATTGCCGGCAATCCCATGGTGAGGCTATTGCACTCATACCTTGCTGGGATTGGAATAAGCTGTTACTACCCTTTGGTAAGCAATACAGTTACAAACATTCAAATTAAAAACAAAAAAGAGAGAGAGAAGTCCTACCCTTAATCCAATAAACTCATGACTCAGAGTTTGCCTCAAGGAAAGAAACCAAAAGAAGAAAAAGAATATGAGTTAAGCATTCGAAATCTAAATATCCTAGCTTGCAATTATGAAACAATTTGTAAGCATGCGGTTAAAGGTCAAAATGGAAGCTAAAACCATGAAAATGGCTTCATGGGTTGGTAGGCTTACAAGTGATATTCTAAAAAGGCTTCTATTGTGGCACTTACCATGACCACTTTTGTCCTAAAATGTAAACTGTGGCCACTGCTGGTGGAGGATGCTGGCCCCACAAGTGTGATGACCTCTGTAATCACTGTAAATAGGGCTCATCTACTTTGGGATTATATTAATCTGTAAGATTGTTTGCTCCTCCATCTCTCTGCTTTATTTAATGAAAAAGGTAGCACATGCTGAACTGTAAAATACTTAGACAATTCAGAAGTGTACAAAGAGAACTGGCAATGAGAAGCCAAGGACAATGGCTTTCAAATTTTTTACGATGCCCCACAGCAAGACGCTCTTCAGTATTCTTGCCTGGAGAGTCCCATGGATGGAGGAGCCTGGTGGGCTACAGTCCACAGGGTCGCAAAGAGTCAAACACAACTGAAGCAACTTGGCACACACAAGAAGCACACTGAACAATCAATCCAGTGCACACATACTCCCATGTACATCTGAGCTCTGTGAAACAATGCCCTTATCACAGGCCACGTGTTCTAGATTAGCTATTTTCATTTTTTTCAAAATTATTCCTGAACATATCCCTGCAAGAAGCAATGACTGTAAATTCTGTGTTGAGAAAAAAACAAACAAACAAAAACAGATCCTTGGCCCCAAGGCCCCAGTCCCTTTCCAGGGCCTCCCTTAACTTCTAGCTGGTCTTGATGGCCACGATTACTTTTCCTAGAAAC